GTCCAACTTTATGCGCAGTTTTTATTTTTTATTATTATTATTTTTTACCTTTGTTTCTTTTGTATATTTCTGATTAAACCTGTTTTCCACATCTTATAACTAAGAAAACCAATCAGGAGGGGAGGAGGACAGCTGTAATCTGTCTTCAGTCCATCTCAGACCTCTAGTGGCAACTCTGAAACACTTAAGAGTCCTCTGGAGCAGTCTGAACTTTTAAGAGTTAAGAGTGATTCTTAGACTTAAGAATTTTGATAACTGACATTTACACTTAAGTCTGAGAGTAGGAGCAAATCTAAGAAATTTTCAGCACTTAAGTCTAAAAGTCCACTCTGAGAAGTTTGATAAATACGGGCCCTGGAGATTACCTTAGTGTTACTAAGAGTTAGAGATTATTTCTTTGTTGCACCAATGCATCATGGCAATAAATGGTGCCACATTTGTAAGGAGCATGCATGTGTGGGATGAGCAGTTACGACGGAGTATTAGGGCCACACGGGATTTTTTAAAATTATTATTACGAGAATAAAGTCATAATATTACAAGATTTAAGTCGTAATATTACGAGAAAAAAGTCATAATCTGACATGTGTCCATTTTCCGTTCCTCATTTCCTCCTTATTTTCCTCACCGCTTCTGTAGCCATGTGTCTGTGTTTGTAAAGTAGTCTGTGACGACCTGGATCACRGTTAGATTAATATGTTTTCATCCAAATTAGCTACGTGACGACTAAATCTGTCAATGCTAATTACAATACAGCTTCAGTCAATTTCCAGGTCCTGCGACTGATAAGTTGATACTAATYTGRTAAAAAAATTTACTATTTCTTTTAAGCAATACTAAAGAACAACTTGACAAGTTGCTCAACATCCCTCATTTTAATGCAGTGATAACTGCATGACTTTTCATGTAAAGGGTATAGTATTACGACTTTAATTTTAGAATATTGTGACTTTAATCTCGTAATATTATGACTTTATTCTCATAATATTACAACTTTATATTCATACGACTTTAATCACATAATATTATGATTTTATTCTTGAAATTTAAAAAAAAATTAAAAAATATTGTTGTGTGGCCCAAATACTCTGTCAAAAGCAGTAGAGCTGAGTATGTGAATTGAAAAATTTGTCAAATCTTCTCTGTCAAACAGATTATTTTGCTGTTATTGACACGCTTTGAGCTTCTGGCACCCCCAGATTTACTGCTAAAAAAGCACTGTTACAAAGAAACAATCTATCAAACACAAATTTCATTATTATTTGTGTTACATTTATTGCACTTCACTTGAAGTTTGAGAACAGCTGAAATGGGTTTATTCCTAAAGTTAAGCAGCTGTCGACATGTTTAATGCTTACTTTCTCAGAGTTTTATCATGGTTCTCCTTGGTCTTTCGATAATAAATGTCAGAACGTTTGTCAGAAGAAGTGCTTCACCTCCATCTTTAAAGCCAGCTCATCTCATCTACATGTCCAGTCTGTTAATCTCCAGTTCAAGGTGAGTCTAGAGTTGCAGTGAAGMGGGGAGTGGGGGCATCCATTATTCAGCTGTCCTGAACAAAAGAAGCCAGACGAGCTCCACAGCTCCCACACAGCGACAGATAAGACCCAACACCAAATTATTCATGATGGAAGGACGGAGTGAGGACAAGTTCAACAGCTGATGGACTCAGAGAGCCAGAGGGACACGTGACCAAAACCAGATCTGGTTTTAAGGACACCATCAAACAAAAAGCTGTTTTTAAGCACATAAATTAACCAGCTGTTGTTTAACCAACATCAATATTCAACATAAAAATAGTTGTTTTAATTAGTAATTTACCATAAATCAAACTTTAAAAACTGATTAAAAATAAATCAGTGCACATAAACCAAAGTTTGATCAACTTTTTCAATAATGAGATTGTTTTTACCTGTTACCTGTCTGTTGTGTTAGCAAAACATCTCATGAATCACTGGACAGGTTTCCATAAAACTTTCAGAAAGTAATCACTGAAAGCACAATACTACTGTTTTACCAGTACAATACCACTGATTTACCAGTGCAATACTACTGATTTACCAGTGCAATACCATTGATTTACCAGACAATACTACTGATTTTCCAGTACAATACTACTGATTTACCAGTGCAATACTACTGATTTACCAGTGCAATACTACTGATTTACCAGTACAATACCACTGATTTACCAGTACAATACTACTGATTTACCAGTACAATACTACTGATTTACCAGTACAATACCACTGATTTACCAGTGCAATACCACTGATTTACCAGTGCAATAC